CCAATCCCTCCCATGTTCAATCTACTCTTGCTCTCTGTTAAATTCATTGCCTCTTGTCTCTATTTATTTAATTGTGTATATAATATTAATATTATTATAATAATATAATAATTAATAATAGATATTAGTATTTGATTGTGCATATAATATTTAATTGTGTATTGTATATATACATATATATGTATATATATGCATACACACATAAACATATTGCTCAGTATGTATAATGCTATAGACTGGCTACTTGGTATTGGATAATTCTTTGAAAAGGGTAATTTATTTAGCATGTTTTCCTTTTAAAAAATTTAAAATGATTTCCAAATATTAAATTCCTAATTTTTTATAGGTCTAATTGAATGTATTTTCTAGTAACCAGAGGATGCTCTGTTTTCCCTTTCTAGGCTAAACATGAAAACAATGTTACTTTTAATTCTTATGTTATGTAAAGTAGAAAAATAAATATGTTTCCTTATGTTTTCCTCTGATACCATCATCTACATTTTCTTTTAGCAGCTCATCGAAAGCTAAACTGAAAGCTTTTCTTTTCCATGTTTGACTTTAATGTCTAATTTCCCTCACATATGCAAATTTAAACAGTTTTACCATCATAAGGCTATTGAATAATTACAGAGAGAAAATGGTTAGAAACAACATGAGAAATCACTTAGACCTGTAATCCTGATTGCTAAGTATGCAGGAGTAGCAAATAGACCATTTGATAAACAAATCGTTTGGGATCTCATAAACCAATGTTGTATGTTATTACAAGTAACAGGATCCTTCTCTTAAAAAGAAGTAAAACCATGTCTTTCTTCATGTCTGGTACTCTTGGTAAAATTGACTCATAGGCTCTTTCCCATCTCGATAATTAAGTTTTAGGAGATTTTTCCCCTTGATCTTCTGCTGAAATTGTGATGACATTTTAAAACAGAGAATATTGCTAGCTCATCTTTGCTGATGAGTTCCATAAACCAATATATAAAACGGATGCCATCTGTGGGTTAAACCAATCTTTCAGGTTGCTTTGCTCTACCGACTGTTAGTTGTAACCTGGTTCCATTAGCTCTCTAGAAGACAAGAATAATCAGAATGCACAGCTCTGCTGAGGCATGACATATCACTAATCCTCATGAAGACACTCAACACAGCCGTCCTTTTTGCCTTGCTGCATTTTTAAAGAGGATTCTTTGGGAAAGCGATCAATGAGATACATGTGTTAGTTATCCAAGACCACCATAAAATTCACTACAAACCGATGACTTAAGGTTTACTCTGCCTAGGTTCTGGCTTTGAGGGGCAAACAAAACCTGAAGCCGTGGTACAGCACAGCACCCCTTCCTGCTGAGGCGGTGGAGGAGCATAGGTTCTCTTTCAGTCCAGGTGACACCAGAGCTTCTTTGGATTGTCTTTACAATAGCTCATACTCAAAATCTGTCCTCTTATCTCTCAGAGTTCACTTTGTCTCTCCCTTGTGAGAATATGAACAATTACATTTAGAGCCCTCTTTCGATAGCCAGAATATCCTCTGAAACGTCTGAACTTATCCCTCGTTTTTTTCTGAGCGTATGGTGTAAGTTTCGAGCTACCAAGTGAGTCTATAGACACAACTTTGTGGCCATCCATTAGCCTGCTGTGAAATGCATTGTTCATCTCCACCCTGAACTACTCTTTATCTTTGTTCAGACCCTTTTCTTTTCCTAATTAAAACATGAATGGCACTTTACTTGTATTTTAATAAATAAAACTTGCCTGAGGATCAGAAAAGTAAAACAGTCACACTGACCAGCCTTATAGACCACACAACAATAACATGCACCTTTAATCCCAGTAGTCACACCAGTTTGCCATAGAAACCAGATGATGTATGCCTTTAAACTCAGAGGTGCATGCCTTTACTCCCAAAATAGAGGAGATTATAAAATGGGAGGAGGCAGTTCTCAGACACATTCTCATTCTGACACTCCTGGACACAGGATCACCATTTTGGACTGAGGTGGAGATAAGAGTCAATGGCAGGCTGCTTTGCTTTCTGCATCTTCAGGTTGAAGCACAATTTCTGACTGAGTTTTTATTAATCATGCTTCAGTTCTAGTTTTCCTTCTTTTAATAAAAAGTGTTGTTGTCAATTCACCTATCTATTTAATAAGTAAAGATTTACCATCCTTTCTTGGTCAAATTATGTGCTAGGATAAAATATAGAAAGATACTTAGTCATGGCATAAATAATTCTAGGTGTTTTAAGCATTTAAGAATATTTTCCATAAATTAAACAATTTCATTAGCTCTCTGCTATAATGGCACAGAACTGTTTATTAAGATACAAAATATAATGTTTATGTCTTGATATAAAACTGTGCATATACATATATAAATATCTATATAGCAACTTAAAATTTCATGTTTACAAATGAGTTACTTTTACTATACCAATGTGTCGTATTATTCCTAAAAACTTGTAAAAATTCCCCCATGGGTAAACATGATAAACACCACCAGATTCTCTACCCCTTGTTTATCTCATGATAGTTGAGAAGAATTCTGAGGTGTCCCTAACTCCTGAGGGATGGTAATTCTGATATAATTCAGTAGAAGAGCATACTGTTTTTCAAAAGCTCTTCCACGGGCACTTATGAAAATGTCTACTCCCCCATGTATTTCCCTTGATTGTACTTTCCTTAAAGTTTGATCTTTTCCTTTTCTGTTTTTTTTAAACACTTCATCTTATGAGGAGATATTGAAACAATAATGTTGACCTGAAGTTTGAAGAGCACATACCACAAAAAGAAAATAACGCCTGTGGATATTTCCTTTCCCCCTGTAAGAAAACTCATAACAAATCTATTCCTTTCAACGGTTATCAAAATCCACTTGCTGCACCCCACGGATGTGAGATGGAAGAATGGAGCTTAAAGTTTCTTCTGGTCTCAGCTTGTCCTCTACTTTTCAAAGAGAATTTGGATCACATAAGAAGGAACAAATGAAAACCTTACAGAAGCAGCATGGTCCTAAACCTGACAGTCCGTTAAAGAACAGCACCACTTTAGAAAATTGGAAATTATCTACGGCCAAAAGAATTGAAAAGCTTACAGTTAATTTTATGATGTCTTTTTTTTTAAGGATTAATGGATGAAAGTCAGTTTCTTCATTTGTGTCAACATGAGAAAAGTAATCGTCTCTACGCGATGCCTACTACTATTGAAAGTAATACATAGAGAGTGACGAATTGGCTCAGATGGCTCAGCACGGAAGGTCATTGGGAACCAACCCTGACAGCCCGAGTTCCTCACTAAGAGAACTGAATCCTGCAAGAAGTTCTCTGACCTCCACATACATGAAAGGTGAACCAGAACCACCCTCACATGAGTACACACAAACACATGAAACAAATAAAAATAAAACAATTTTTTAAAAAAGATAATCAGTAAGCTAATTAGCTGATTGCAAATCTTCTTTTGAATAACAGACAACATTCCAGTCCTTATTAATTTCACTACACTGACATTTCCCTCCTTCCCCCAAGCTAAGCACACTGTTGTAGGGAATTTTGGCTTTATGTTAATAGTCTACTTTAAGAATCAAATGATAAAAGGCTTTTATTGGTATGAACCATAATAAAGGCTTGTTAAATCAAAAGAAGGAGAGTACAGTGGAGAAGACTGCTTTATATTCCTTGGTAGCCAATTGATTTCATCAATCTAATATTATGTTTTAGGAAGCAAAATTGGTTCAAAGGAAATCCAGCTTCAGAGAGTGTCTTTGGGTTTCTATTATTGCAACAAAACCCATGAGCCAAAGCAAACTGGGGAAGAAAGGGTTTATTAGGCTTACACTTCAGCATTGCTGTTTATCTCTGAAGGAAGTCAGGATAGGAACTCAAACAGGGTAGGATTCCAGAGGCAGGAGCTGATGTAGAGGCCATGGAGGTGAGTTGCTTTTGGGATTACCTCCCATGGCTTACTCAATCCACCTTCTTATAGAATCCAGGACCAGCAGGTCAGGGATGGCACCACCCACAGTGGGCAGGACCCTCCCGCATTGATCATTATATTGAAAAATGCCTTATAGCTCGATCTCAAAGAGGCATTTCCTCAGCTGAGGCTTCTTCCTCTCATGACTCTAGCCTGTGTCAAATTGATACACAAAACTACCCAGTGCAGAGATTATTCAAAACAAAGACTTAACAACCAGATTCTCACTAATGAACAAGTTTTCAGTCTGGAATATTTCCATCTTTTTTTAACAATAGCATTTTAGAGATGACACGGGGGTCAGCTTCTTTATTCAATATCACAAAAGTACTAACTGTTAAATGTAATTTTACATAAGACAAAAATAGCATTGAAAAGGTAATTTTCTTTTAATACATTCCAAAACTCTGGTTCAAAATACAGCAAAAAAACAGATTTACCATAGCATAGAGAATATCAGAATAATTTCAATAAGGGTCTAAAACTATACAACATGAACATACAGTTGTTAACAGCATCAAAAAGTATTAGTACTTCTCCCTATTGGTCATACTTAGTATAGAGTTTATTTCTCTGCCATGAAATATTTGAGAACATGTGACAAGCCAAGACCAAGACAAGCCTTGAACATTAAGAGGTAATAACTAAGCAAGAAAGCAAAACATTGCTACTTCTAATAAAAAATGAGAGCCAGACCACAAGTCGTATCTGGCAATCTTATCCTAGAACTACCAGTTACCACAGTCAGTTGTGTTATTACTGAAATGAACAACAAAATCCAGAGAACTTTCTCTCTGCATCTGAATTCAGAGGAGTATCTGTGCTATTTTATAGGCACAGGCATTGCTCTCACCAGAAAGACAGACCTGCCCTGAAAAGAATCAAGTAGACGCTGCAACTAGAACACTGAGATCACAAATTTACACACCTATCTATACACGAAATGATTTCAACCAGCATTCACATTAAGTCCAAGGTCTGTTGCTCTAAAATCATTTATTCAAAAAATATCAAATTAATTTAGTATCCTACCTGTCACCAGAAAGCTGCATCTCCCCGCCCCGGCTTCATTGATGATGCTGCAGTTATAGACTCCGTAGTTTTCATTGGAAAGACTTTTTACAGGGTACTCTGTATATTCCTGAGAGTCAAACTGACCAGTCCGTAATAATTTATTGCCCAAACGCCACTCATAGGTCAGCACTCGTATTGGATAAGCTCTCAGGACCCTGCAGCTCATGGTCACACTTCTGTCCTGTCCTTGACGAATTTCCAAGAATGCTGGTTCCACAGCTGGGGGATCTGGGGAAAGATACGTTAAAACAGATGAAAGATGAGGCTTTCAAAGCAGAACTCTTTTTGGCTATTTGGTTATGAAGGGGCGATTCTTAAGAACATATGTTACAGTGGGTGAGCATAAGAGGAAGGTGGTGGAGTACATCTAAAAATGGAAGGATTTCATCTTGAGCTTGGAAATAAGGTTTTCTCAGAGTGGACAGACAAGAGACTTGTTGCTTTCCAAAAACAAACAAACAAACAAAAATAAAAGCAAAAAGAAAAAACTATTTACAGGTAAGACAACAACTATAACAAATTCTTATTTCCTTCTTGCTGGTTTCAGGGAAAACATTGAATTCAGACACCAATGAAGTTCTGGATGTGCAAACAAGATCAAGGCTTCACATTAGTATGAGACTGTGAAGTAGAAAGTCTTCTATCTCATCTGTAAATTATAATTAGTGCTTGTTGAGCTCAGTCCGTGGCCTGATACTTATTAGTTTATAAAAGAAGTAAGGAAGATTCAGAATTCAGTGTTTTAAATAGTTAGGTTTGATTTCCTGGGATTGAAAGTCCAGAATCCATAAACTGTGAGGACATTTTGCAAACTATACCACAGTTTAAGATGGCTTTTAATCCCACTTTAATAGCAGACTTATTTGACATATTTATGATTTTTTGTGTAATTAAAACTTGCTATATTTGGCACCTAACATTTTTTTATTTTGATGATGAAAATTGCAATTCCTTATTTAAGGGATATAAAAACACACACCTCTCATGGTTAAAAACCAAAATCAAACCTTTGCTTAAATGTTTAGTAACCTCCAGTTAAAAGTTAAATTCTGAAGTGGATGACGTTACTGGAAGCTGTGCAGCGATACAGGGCTGAAATGTCCTGGGCGTCCACCCTTAATTAGACATTTATGGAACTCTTGCAAATTGTCCAGTATAAAAACTGCACAGCTGGACCTGGTGGTTCTTACTTCACACTGCTCATAGGTTTAGGAAATTGATTATTTTCAGTCTCGAATTGTTCACACCCTATGTTACCTGTTAAATAGTTTCAATCTCTATTCTTGTTTTCAGTCTACAGAATGGTCTTTCTTATTCCTTTCAGCAAACATTGTTAAGCCTCTCTATCTATTCTGATTTCATCTATCCATTTTCTTCTTTGTATCCTTTTCATAAAAGCAGTATGCATTTTTTTCTACATGCAAGAAAATATATTAATATTTGTCATGTTATAACAAGGACAAGGTGTTTTAAGAAAGGTGGTGCCTGTGTTGTGTCTTGTAAAAAAGAAAGAACATGAAGCACATTCCAGGTATGAGAGAAGGGTGTGTTTAAAAGAGCCAGTGAAGAAAGAATGTTCAGAGGAATTCAAAGGCACTACCAGAACTAGGGCTAAAGCACCACCATGACTCTGGAGATAATGACAGTAGAAAGGCAGGAAAGTCTGTTCAAGGATAACTCAGCCTCATGTTATAGAGTTATGCTTTATAGTCGGTGTTAGAAAAATTATAAAAAATAAAAGTCTTACGTGATCAAATTTTTAGTCATAATATTACCAATTAGTAAGAAAAATCTGTATTAGAAAAGAGGGCACGAAGCAGAGAAGACAAGGCAAGTTGCAGAAAAATGACAACATTGGTTTAAAAAAGAAAAGAATCAAAAGGTAAACTACTCTCTATGAACTAAGTGGAAAAACAGGCGATTGCTTTTTCGATGAGGTGGACGATAAGGTCATTTCTACAAATGGGAAGAAATGATGGGATTCTAGTGTGCAGTTGGCATGTTGATTCTTTGCACGTGTGAACCATTCAGGGAGCAAGGGCTTCCTTACGTTATCCCCTAGGCCACTACTTTGTCTATTTCCAAACATACAAGCTGTTTCTGGTTATCTCTTCTTTTGAATCTTTATTTTAATGACTCATGGTTTTACAAAGTTCACATAGACACAGTCCTCCACATGTGCCGGTGCTTCTGTGCGACAGGGAGTAGCTCTTCGACTCAGAGAAAAGGGAGGAGAGGAAACATGGTATAGTGTGAAAGTGTGTTTTCATCGATCAGATCATGTCTGGCAAGACTGGTTGGTTAACTGAGTGACTGCCTACTTATTTCAGTTGGGTAAATCTTGACTAGTATTATCATCATCCAAAAGAGTTTCATAATGTCAAATTTTTCCTTGTAACACTATCTTCCTTTTGCTCTGCCTTTTTCTTGATTGTACTTCAAAAATATGCACCTTTTAAATTTCATGAGTTCAGGTTTTATTACTGTAAACTCATCGTTATCTCTAAGGCTTGGCTTTAAGAGTCTATTTTATGTAGTAATGTAGCTAGCTACTCATGCACTCATTTATCTAGTATCTGCATTTCACATTTTTACTAGTTTTTACTCTTAAGCTTCAGCATCATTACATGTCCCAGGCTCCTTCTGACAAGCCTGTGCCCATCCAGTCATTTTTGGAGAGCATGGCAACCCGTGCCCTTGGCATTCAGCACTTCATCCACTTACATCTGGATAAAATTGTTTGTTCTCATTTTGTATTTGTTTTTCAAGTTTTGATTTCTCATTGCCTTCTCTTTGATTGTTTCTTCTCCAACCCTTTTCTTGCTGCTAGTTGGGATTTGTCCATTTTTCCTATTATTTGGATTCCATAACCATGGATCTAGAGAAAAACTAAATCTGAAAACTTTCTTCTTCTTTGACTCATATCCTGACCTGTATTACCAGCTCGTGAATTTAATTCTCCCTTGCTTGGAAATTCTATTTCACATCAGCTGCAATGCTAACATTTCTATGTCCCAGTTCATTAGTTGTGTGTTACTTAATTTACTAAGTCCTTGGACCTGTGATCATTTTCTTTGTTTCTGTTGTCACTATTCTGAACTTCCCAGTGCATCTTTGCTTATCTCTATGATCTTTATATGCAAAGCATATTTTCATTATTAAAATAATTTTCCAAGGCACACAATTTTATTGACTAGCAGTTCTCTCTGTTTGTCAACACACATTACCATTATTTTTGGATGACCGCGCATCCTGTAGAAAACTGATTTCAAAGCCTTCCATTTTGAGCTCCCTTTTCTTCCACCTAGCTCCTTTCAAAATCTCTTTGTCTTTGATGTCTATGGTTCCATGTAGTGTTTATAGGTATGAGCTTCTTTTTAGTTGGAGGTTTCAATTTGATGTTCTTATAGCTGTTAGTTCAAATTTGTCTTTCATCTGTGATATTTTGAAAAGGTCTCATCATCAGCTCTTCAAACAAAACTTCTTTGTCTTCTTTAAATCCTTACTTGATGATCTTTTCTCCTATATCTTCCACATTTTTAAAACTATTTTCTAAAGTCTTTCTGTTTGTTTGTGTTTTTTCCTATGTTAGTATTAACAAATTCATCTGAGAAAACACAATTTTTTAGTTTTTTCATAACTCTACTTAATCTGCTAAGTGTATTCATGGTGTTTTAAATTCAATAATTCATATTTAATCTATAAACATTCTATGCAATTCTTCTGCATAGCTATTACACTGGCTAGCATGGTCAGACTTATATTTAATGTTCTTAACTAGTTTAAGTACAGAAATGTCTTCTAGTGATATTTAATATAATCATCAGTCTGACTACAGGGCAAGGCCAGTTCAGGCACTCAGATGGAAACAGAGAAAGAGACCCACATCGGAGCACTGGATTGAGCCAACAAGGTCCAGCTGAAGAGCGAAATGAGGAAGAGTATGAGCAAGGAAGTCAATACCACGAGGGGTTCACCCACTGAGACAATGTGCCTGAGGTAATGGGAGCTCACCAACTTCAACAGGACTGGGAGTGAACAAGCATGGGATCAAACTAGTTCCTCTGAATGGGGTTGACAGTTGGGGCAGACTGAGGGGCCAATGACAATGGCAATGTGATTTGTCTCTACTGCATATACTGGCTTTTTGGGATCCTATTCTCTTTGCATATATACCTTGCTCAACCTGGATGTAGTGGGGAGGGCCTTGGACTTTCCACAGGGTAGGGTGCCTTGCCCTCTCTCAAGATTGGAGTAGGATGGGAGAGAGGGTGTGTGGAGAGAGTGGGAGGGAAGTGGGAGGAGGGGAGAAATTGGGAATTTGGATTGGTAGTTTTTTAAGTAATAAAATAAAATAATAATAAAATAAAAAAGAAATGTCTTCTGATAGTGAAGAACATGAAGAACATATTCCTACTGCTTTTCCTTCAGAGTTCATTGCATTTCTGCCACTTTGTAAGTGTTGATTCTCTTCTACATTTTGAAGTTTAAAGTCATTTTGATATTTTTTTCTGCAGAGACAATTCATTTCCATAAACAAATATTAGCAGCAATGCTTGCAATTACACAATGCCTGTGGCTGCAAGTCTATTTGAACTATTAAATGGTAAAGGCTGTGATATCAACTTCTCGGTTTCAGCATCTTAAATCGTATTAAAGCTTCAAAATGGTCATTTGCTTGTCTTTATTGAAAGTGGAACTGTAGACACTATGTTCATTTTGTCTTTGTTCTCATCTTTGAATTCCTTCCACTTGGGGAAGGGTCTACAAGTGTCTGCATTGGAGCCCCTCCCACATAAATATTCTAGATTTGAAGTTCTTTACCTGCTGCTCAGGGATATTAACAACCAGACCTCCTATTTACCCAAGTCGGCAAAGGTACTCAGTGAAAATGAAGTTGGTTTGACCACTCTCCTACAAATTCTACGAAGTGCATTTTAATATGCATTTTGATGTTCTTAACAGGACTTAGGAAGCATTTCTCACTTGTGTCAACTAGAAAGGCTGTTTAGAATATTCCATTTTTCTATCTGCTCAGATATGTCTTCTTAGTCAAGGAGACATGTGGCTATAAAACCACATAAGATCTGGGCATAAATGCATACCTTGAAATCACAGAACTTGAAAGGCTAAGGCAGAAAGATCAGTTTAAGGACAGTTTAAGCTACTTGAAATCATGTTTTAAATAAAATGGGTATGGTTTCAAGTTGTAGGTTTTAAGTTGCGCT